TAATCCTTATTTTTACTCTCATGATTATTACTTTGACCCTTGTGACCCTTATTATGCCCCTCATGACACTGAGTCTGAACCTTGTGACCCTTATGATCCTTATTCTGACTCTCATGACCATTAATTTGACCCTCATGACCCTTATTTAGACCTTTATGACCCTTAATTGTGGAATCTTAATTACGAGTACAAAATTTTTATCACCAGAAGTCGATTTGGATTTTTATAATATACAGAAATTTTTTCTTTATGTAAATAACGACTTTATTATGCAATCTATATGCAATAATCTTTCGTCTCTAGTCGAGTTCAATCAATTTCTGACCATTATATTTAATAACAAAAACTACAAGAATGATTCCACACAAATTCGAAATTCCGAATAAGCCACGCGATTCGCTCGATAATTCCTCGTGATTTCAAATTTGAAATAAATAATTTAAGATGTTTATTTCGCATCCATGAACCCTCGATCTCCACAGTTACTCTTAATGATCCCCCGTCATTATCTTTCTCATTTCGCGTGCCTCCGAAATCATCTCTGCTCACTCGTGCAGAGCTGTATGATCCCACCACAATGCGAAGACCCCTTCGAAATCCCCTTGAAATGGAATCAGTAATGTTTCCGGACAATTTACCAATGGGAATTCTGCATCTTCCGTACTAAAATCCCCCGCGATTAGAAAGTTTGAGTCAATGTCAGTGAGTGCAACTGCTCGTAATTACGGATTCCCGCGAATTTTATATCGTTAACAAGAGCAGTATCAGAACAATGGTGATGTTGTTATGATCGATCACGATCTAGACTCATTCAGATTGATGATTGCTAATTGCCACTTCCGGTGAAAACTGCTCTCGATGACCCAACCATGACGGTTGGCCTTGAAAAACGAAAAAAATAAATAAGAGAGATTATTCCCCCAATCAGAATAAGTCCATCAAAATTTATCCCAGTGAACGTCAATAATTGCTCAATATTGCGTATAATTTTTCTGTAATGGAGAATGATTTTTTACCGAACGCGTTCGGTAAATTTCGCTTCCTTTCGTCTCCATGACCTTCAGATGGGTGCAAAAAATGCCTTACCGGTGTAGAAAATTGTACTGTACAGGAGGATAATTTTTGCATCCATAGATGTGTTTTTTTACCGAAGGAATCGTAAAATATCCTCCACAAACAGGTATTTTTTCATTGAATTACATTTCGCTCCACGACTACCTTTCGTACAGTAAAATTAGCCACGATTTTCTAGGCAATTTTTCTCCAACTTTTCTCTCCATGTAGTGTTTTCTTGCGGAAGGAACTGAATAAGACCTTTTTAAACCACAAAGTTAAGTTAGATCCATTTAAATTGGAATTTCAAGATAGACCTCTTTGACTTATTCCCCCGAGTTATGCCTTTTCTTCTAGATGTAGAGATACAAATGAAGAGTCGTTGGTGTTTGTATGCGGCTACGGCGCCGCCTTGCGGTGGCGTCTCTATACTCAGGTGGTCAACCTCCCTAATTGACATCTCATACCCAATAAATTTTCTTGAAATGCAAAACTAGTGATGAGTGGATTTTAATGTTATTGTAATCATGACTGAAAAATTCTCCTGCCTCTACGAATAGTTGCAATTTCACCTCTTGAATCAAAAAAAAAATCCTACCGGAAAATTTTAATTTCTAATAGAATGAAAAACATACAAATTCATGAAAGTGACGATAGCGAATCGACCCTTGAAATAACGTACACAAATGTAAAAATGAGTAGATTTGGGGTTGATTTTTCCAGATTACATCCACCTTTTTCCAGTATTTTTTCTATAATTTTTTTTTGCTTTTCCCACATTAATTGCAACTTTGAAATTTTTAATTTTAAACTGCGGAAGTGTATGTTGTACCACGTTGACATTAAATGCACACTCTCCATCAGCAAATCTTAACACTCTCGTTTACTTCCAACAAAGCTATCGGAAAATGCCCGTTCATTGTGAAGCTCTCGGGTTTTTACTACTGAGAATAAAAAATGAGTCACACCAGATAAACCAAGGATATAGGTTAAGAGCCAATCTGAATGACGTGGAATACCCCTGGATTTGTGAGCAAGAATATAACGGTATCACGTTTAACGTTGGCAGATGTCGAGGAACCCAACCCAGAAGAGAGCGTCGAGCGCGCCATTCCGGTCAGCCTAGTTCTTCGTAAAGTGCCTTCTTTTCTTCGCTCGTTGCCTTTTTTTCAACTCCTTGTGTGCGTTAACACTGCTGAGTGCGATGCGTACCGAAAGGAGTAGGTGGGGGACACCGTAAGAGATCGGGTCAAGAACAAGGTCGACCACCGCTGGGTGATCCCGAGAAGAGAACGGATTTTTCGTTTATGTCTTATGCCTTTTGTCCCGTGGCGGGACACATTTTTTCTTCTATTCGGCTCTTACCGATTTCGTTTTACAGAGAAAAGAAACTTGAGTTTCCGAGAAAAGAAACTGATTTTGAGGCACTCGTAGTTCTAAAATGCATTTTCCTTTGAATGAAACAATGTTTAGTTTTTTTTTGTATTTCATTTCACCGTATATTGCATTTTCATTTTACGTTGCATTTTATTTTTCTCATTTTCTTCATAAGATACCTAATGTTTATTTTTATGCATTTTACTTCTTTGCAAAGGGACTATCCAAAAAGCAATTAAACAATTATTATTTTTATTATTTTTCCGGTATTTAAAAATTATTAAAAATCATTGAAATTGAATTCTTCTATCGAATTTGGCGACTAATCTCCTCTCAACACTAGAAGATTTAAATATTTTTATACATTTTCGCTGGCAACTAGAAAGACTTCGTGTGGGATTAAATGCACAGAATGAAACAAAGCCCTCGAGAAAATATGATTAACGACCGAATGAAATAATTTTCTCTGTTGTCTTCGCCTTTCAATGAAGGAAGTTATTAATTCTGCGGTTTTGAGATGACGGCGAATGAGAGGATTTAACTCGTGAAACCACGGGCGAGTGCTTCCGCGAAGGGACCGGTTAAGTGGGAAAATAGTGGTTCTAATGCGCGGGGTACGTAACCGAAAATGCCAGGGCGCTTTCTTTGGGCTTCGGAGCGATGGGAAGCCGGTATTTACGCAATTCAGCGACGTTTATGGGATAAATTGGATGGGTATTTGCACCACAAATCCCACTTCGAGGGGAAGGAATTCTGTAATTGCGAGTATTCTCAACTAATATGGAAATATTGCTTTTCATTCCGGACTGAACATTCTCCAATGGGATATTTAAACGATTAAAATTATTATTGGAATCATCATTATTATTTCAGATGATTAAAAATAAGTAATTCTTTCGTATTGATCCTCTTTCATACAATAGGCGCAGTATTTATTTTATTTATTTATTTTTTAATTTTTGGTCAGCACTAAGCAATTAGTTAATGAATAAATAAATAAGTAAATATGAACCTTTAAATATAACAAAAATGCTTATGGGATTGTTATGAATAATAAATTTATATGAACATTGAAAAAAATAGAAAATTGTTTTGAAAGACGAAAACAAAATAAAAAAATGTGAATTTAAACAGTGAACAGTTGATTTCAAAGATTTTCATTTCCACACTTGGAAAATATGACCGATTTCATAATTAGATGCGCCTAATTTCATAAACCTTAAACCGTAAAAATTTTTAAAGATCATTTTTCAATTTTTTTTTGAAATCTAAACGTAATAAAAGCGGACATTAACTCCGTTTTAATGAATAAACGAATACATCATGATAAAAAATAAATAAATAGTCCTCTTTTTTTCAGTTGCAGAAAGAATCTCGTTTTATTGCATAACATCTTGTTATTTGAGAAATTGCTTTCGTTTGACGCAAGACATTCTGAAATGTCGAACCCTAATTACAAAAAAAAAAATGATGACGCAGTACAACAATGCCGATCCGCAATTACTGTTAATTCGATTGAAATTCCCATTTCCCTTCTCGTTTCATCACAAAAAACCGCGAGATCTACCTCATTGGATCGAGGTATGTGAAATTTCTCGAAACGTTTGAAATTGGCTCACCGCGTATGTGAAATAAATCATGAAACATTAGTCTAATGCAGGCCCCTGGGACTTTCACCGGAGTCTCGGAGGCTATTGAAGGGTGACTACTCTTAATCTTCCACGGCGATTTTCAGGATGAGTTCAAGCCTGACATTTCGATTTCCCCCGGCGTCAATTCGAAAATTAGTTCGTTCCGTCTAATAATGACTCCATCGGACGCATTACAGAGCCTCACGCACGAAAAAATTTAACAAAAAAACCTAGCGAATTAGAAAAGTTTAATAGAAAATATTCAACAGAATTCGATTTTTTTGGAATTTCCTCGGCTCAAATTTTCCTTGTTTTTTTCATTATGTTTTTCTTTTTTTTCTCATTAACAAAATCAATTCTATAGAAAATTCTTTTTCTCACGAAGAAAAATTCCTAAAAAGAATTCGATTTTTCTTTAGAATATTTTATATTGAACATTGAAAGTTCAATAGAAATCAAATAGAATTATCTAGCGAATTCTATAGAAAATATCTCAATAGAATGAGACATAGAAAGTTCAATAGAAATCAAATACAATTGTCTAGCGAATTCTACAGAAAATATCTCCATAGAATAAGTCATATGGAATAATCGAATTCGTTTGCCATTTTCTCAAAAAGAAAAATTCCCAAAAAGAATTCGATTTTTCTATAGAATATTTTCTATTGAACATTGAAAGGAATTGTCTAGCGAATTCTATAGAAAATATCCCAATAGAATAAATTACATAGAAAAATCCAATTCGTTTGACATTTTCTCAAAAAAAAATTCCTAAAAAGAATTCGACTATTCTATAGAATATTTTTTATTGAATATTGAAAGTTCAATAGAAATCAAATAGAACCGTCTCCCGAATTCTCTAGGTTTCCCATTAAATTTTAAAAGCCTGTCCCCGTGAAGCTATCGCGCATGTAGATTCATTAGAAAGTTCCGATTTACCTTTGAGTCCCACGAGGTTTTCCGCTTGTGCTCCATCGAGACCGTCATCTTTGGATCAGTTACGCTTCGATTAAAAACCACTCGATTCACCCCAATGCACAAGCGATATCACTCACATCACGATCACAAATGAGCGCAAAACCAAATCCAATTTAAAAAACTCCCGAGATATTTCCGCAAAATCGATAACTATTTACCAACGAAATAAATATCAATTAATTTTGAATCAGCGCCGATGTTTCAGCCTCACGAAAAATCATTAATAATTTCTATAATTATATTTGTAATTTTTGTAATTATTTTCTTCCGACACTGTCAAGAGGCACTAGACCCGCAGAAAATCAACACTTTCATACCGAAAATTCGCGGAAATAATTTTAGTCTCGTGCTCTTATCCACTTCAGTCGTAATTCTCTGTCGGTTTGTTGTAACAGGTGTCCAGACACATCTGTCCCCCGGCTCTGTCGTTGACCCCGACGCGTGACCTACCCCCGGTAATTGAAAAAGCCCAATGAACCGAGTTTAATTTGAGGAACGACGGGGAAGCCAGTGGTGAACGAACCGCACGGCACCTCGGCCAGATGAATACTCTGATTGCCACGGCGTTCACCAGTTCGAAACACCGGCGAGAGAGACGGGCAATTTCTCCGGAGCACGCGAATGGCACGCCGGAGAGAACTCCAGGTAAAATGTTCGGGGGGGATTGTGTCGTGGGTCGAGGGGACAGGAAGTGTTCATGTGTGTGTTCATGCACTTTCACGTATTACGAGGTTTGACGAACACATGACTGAGGCATTGTGGGTCATCTTGATTTATTAGTGGGTAAATGACAAGGTCAGCAACAATTTTCTTGATTATGTGGAAAATTGTGGGGGGTAAAGGACACCCTGAGAAATTGCGCAATTTAATAAAATAAGACACTTCATTTTGGATTGCGCTCATTTAAAGTAGCTCTACCCTTCGGCCGGGTTACGCTGTACTTTTGGATATTTTCAGTTTTTAAATTTTTCAACTAAATTGCATGGAAAAAAATTGAAAAAAATTCACACCCAGTCAGTATTATCTAAATTAAATTTCGCAAAATATTGATATTTTTTCAAACATTTTCCACTTATAAATAAATAATAAAACTTGTTTGCAAAATGGTGGATTATTTTTTATGAGGTGTCAAAAAAATTCTTGATTTTTCCACATCTAATGAAAAAAATTCAGATTTTAAACTTTGATTACAATGGAAATGTTGATTTTCGCATAAGACGCTGGGTTAAATCCTGATTTTTAAACATTTCCTCTTTGAAAAACCAAAACGATAATTAAATTGAGAAAAAAAATTGAATTCCGAATCTAATGGAGTTTTCTGCAATTTTTTTGCAGTTTTCAATAATCTCTGAATTTACCGTAAGGGTAGAGCTACTTTAATTCAATATTTTTTTTAATTGGTGAAGGTGAGTATTGTTTCACTGAAAATGTTTCGTTTATTGAAATCAATAATCCAATCAATTACGAATTACTAGCCGGATTAATTGATACTATTTCATTTTATTTTCATTTCCGTCTTCATAATTGGATTTATTTAATTTTATCCATTCTTATTCTTATCATGTCTATATTTTTTCCTTAATTCACAAGTTACAACATTGAATGAAGCGGAGTTATGTTAAAAATAAAGAAAAAGTGTTTTTTTGTGATCAAAACAAATACACACAATAAAAGTCATTCGAAATCTCATTCGGGTAATAGAAAAATCTCTCCATGTATTCCTGAATATTTTTAAAATCCATTTTTCCCGTTGTATGGTTCAAGGATATCGCTCTGCTCAGAATCAGAAAGGGATAATCGGCTGGAAAATCTTTTTTTCTTTTATATCGGCCGGAACTTCGAATCACTTTGTAATTCCTAATTATTTTACGTAACAAAATATAGAATTTGAAGAAATTCAAAAATAGTAGCATAATCTTCTCATAGTTCAACATAATTCTAATATTTGGAGATGCACATGGACCACCCGGGAATAATACTCAATAATTATAATCAATAATAATAAATAATTCCGTTATTCGTTAATAAAAAAAATCCCCTCATTCCAGATAAATTCTCTATTAAAATCAAGAAGACATTTGTTTATATTTAAAAAACTATTCATTTAATTCGAATGAATCATCGCTCTAAGTATGGGCTCCCCCCGCATCAAATGACTGTGATGTACCAAATTATATGTTCTTCAACTGACAGTTCACATGTTCATTAAAAAAAAATTAAGGTTTGTGAAAAAAAGTGGAATTTTTTGTTCCCCTCGATAATATTCTTTACGCAACGTATAATTCTAGAGGAGAGCAATTTTCTTTTTGAGTGTAATGTTTAATAACTGTATCAATATTAAAGTAGCTCTACCCTTCGGCCGGCCTACGCTGTACTTTTGGATATTTTCAGTTTCTAAATTTTTCAACTATAAATTACATGGAAAAAATTTGAAAAAATTCATACCCAGTCAGTATTATCTAAATTAAATTTCGCAAACTATTGATATTTTTTCAAACATTTCCTCCTATAAATAAATAATAAAACTTGTTTGCAAAACGGTGGATTATTTTTGTGTTAAAAAATTCTTGATTTTTTCACATCTAGTGAAAAAAAATTCAGATTTTAATCTTTGATTACAATAGAAATGTTGATGTTCACATAAGACACTGGGTTAAATCCTGATTTTTAAACATTTCTTCTTTGAAAAACCGAAACGATAATTAAATTGAGAAAAAAATTAGAATTCCGAATCTAATCGAGTTTTCTGCAATTTTTCTGCAGTTTTCAATAATCTTTGAATTTACCGTAAGGGCAGAGCTACATTAAGAGGATATAATTTTTGAAAGTGATGGCAATGTAGCAATGCTATTATTATGTGACTATCTTTTAAAGTGATGTTGTACTAGCTGCTCGAATCACAATAAAAATCCTTCGGGACACGTTAGATAGAAGCAGAAGTGTCGATTTCAACGAGTGTATAGGGTGTCGTTTGACGTGTTTGTCTGGGATTACCGAGGAGTCAAGAGCATTTGTCATTCAATAGCCTACTTCTCGAGTAACGTTTCTAATAGAGTTGAGTATGATCGTAGGGTGGGGACGGAATGCCTGTATTGAATTTATTTGACACGGTTTGTGTCAATACGAAGATGAAGGAATTTTTTTGATTTCTTCGAGTGTTTCGTGGATTATTCAGGAGTTGTATGATGATAACGCAGGATATCGCGTACAATATCCTGCGTTACCAGATCCTCATTTTAAATTATTGGGTTACATGAGAATGAAGAAATGTCGAGAATATTTCATCAAAAAATAATTTTTCCAATGCTGCTCTCTATTTTACAAAAATCCCAATGAATTTCTGGTGATAAACATTTGGTACTCAAAATTAAGACTCGAATTAAAGATCACGAAGATCGAAATAAGGGTCATGACGGTCGAAATAAGAGTCACGAGGGTCAAACTAAGGTTCGCGATGTTCAGATCAAGGGTGACAAGGGTAAGATTAAGGTTCACGAAGTTCAGAATAAGGGTCACGAGGGTCAGATTAAGGTTCACGAAGTTCAGAATAAGGGTCACGAGGGTCAGATTAAGGATCACAAAGGTCAAAAGGATCAGAATAGGGGTCATATCAGGGTCACAAGAATCAGATTAAGGGCCACAAGGTTCAGAGTAAGGGTCAAAATAAGGGTCATGGGCGTAAAAAAACAAGGACCAGAAACTATGGGTCACCAGGGTCAGAATAAGGATCATGGAGGTCATATGAGGATCACATGTACGTGATATGGGGATTAGGGAATGGAGCGATCAGGGAGCATAGCCCCCTAAGTTAATGAATAAATACGAAATGCAAATGGATTTTTGACGTTTTTATTTTATTCGTATGGACAAGTAAACGATACATATACCTGTACGAATTACATATTTGATTTTGTTTTATTTGTTTTGTCGTTAAATCTAATTTACATTGACGACGCACGGATTTTCGAACTGATACCCCAAAAATCCGCTCGGTGCAATTTTACCTACATATTAATTAATGATAAATGAAATTAATATATATTTAATTTTAATTCATCTTGATTTGTGTTTTCTCCGTTACGACCCTGTAAAATGTATAATGCGAAAAATCCATTGATATAATTGTTTAATACGTGATTGTAATTAATTTAATTCATAGTCGAGCTGCACTAACACTTCAGGGGGGACGAAAAATTGTATAAATAGTTTTTCTTCATTTCCTCAGAATTCGCATGAAAACGGGATTGTTTATTCTTATGGCCTGTGAATCTCCATTTTTTAATGATTACTCTTAATTTACTCGTTTCAGTGTTGAATGGTTTCTCGAAAAAACAGTATCCAATTCTTATAATACTATGTTACGAAGATTTCTCATTAACGCGATTATAGACAAATAAAAAATACAGGAGACGTAATTTTTTTTTGCTCACTTTGTATAACAAATATTCTCTCTTATTTCAGTCGATTATTTATCAATTGCAAAAAAAACTTTAACGAAAGAGTGAATAAGAGCCTCAATTGTAGGCGTATCCTGCGCATTACACGATAATTGCGTATGTAATAATATATAATATAAAAATTAAAATACATAGAAAAAATAATAGAATTTATTAGCCATTGGCTAAAAATAAAGAGTAATTCGTCGTTCTGTTGATGAATAAAATAACAATTTGTAGTTGAGAGATGTCAATTATATTTTAATTAATACTCTGGGCAAATTGTCGAGTACACTTGACGTGTAAATTCACAAATGAATGGGTAAATATGGAACTGATGAATAATGAATGAGAGAATGCATTTCCCTTCGTTAAAAAAAATAACACTCTTCAAATCAAATAGAAATTGATTATTTCTTTGTCTCAATTGATGATATTTTATTCATGAACGTCATGCCAAATGAATTCAATAAAAAATACTATTTCACCCGGCCTTCGTTAATTTCGAGGAGAGCCTCCAGCGCGGGCTGTGTCCACAGACATTTAAAGAAAACTCTCATTTTTCTGCATGGGACTTTTTTTTACAAGTCTGTGTCGTACCAGGCTGCGACTTGATTGTTGTCCTGCGGCGGCGCTGGAAGCTCAGCCAGATGATCAAAGCTCAAGTCACCCTCGTGTGCCACATCCATAGCGTCCATAGCGCCATATGTTGAACCACCCCCTATTTCTAATCCTTGCATTGAGTCTATTGGTATCTGGTCATAACCGGCTGTGAAAAATAGGAGAAAATTTTCGTTAATAACTTCAATTCCACACGATGAAAATCAAATATAGTAAAGTATCGAGTTTTTATGGTAAATATGATCTTCATTACGAAAGAAGGGAAAATTTCAATTCTAATTTTCGTGTCGATTTTGACGATTGGGCACTTTTTAATGAATATCTCGGAATCTAAGGCAGATCGGGAAATTTTTGTCATAACCGTTTCTGTAGCCCTCAATTTGTTCTACAAAAATGGTTATGACGAAAAATGCGCTATCTCCCTTAGATTCGGAGATATTCTCAAACTTCTGAACTCCGATGTACGAATTGAATTAAAACCCATGAATTATTAATTCAGTTTTCAACAAATATCTCGGGATCTAAGTCAGATAGCAAAATTTTTGCCATGACCTTTTCTGTAGCCCTCAATTTGCTCTACAAAAAAGGTTATTACGAAAAATTCGTTATCTCCCTTAGATTCGGAGATATTCCCCGAAAACTCAAAATCGATTTCTCCCAGGGACTCTCCAATCTTCTTCCCTCCGTTAGCAACAAAGATTGCACATCTCTCTTGAATTGAATATAAAAACTCCTTTTATATGGCACTTGTAATCTCCAGCAGTTGCAGTCTGAAGATGAGCCAGAGGTAAATGGTCCATTTTAAAGTGAAGCTTTATTGATTTTTCAGCTTCAATGAACATCTGACAGGTAGGGGGGGCTTGAAAAGGGGCGGAGATGGAGGGAAAGATGAAAGGCATGACGAAATACAAGCTCCACGTTTGCAGTTTGTTGATTGCTCTTTCTGTGTGAGGCGTTTCGCCAGCCCTCAATCGGCCTTTGAAATTCCTTTCCCCTCGCATATTTATTTTCACGACGTGAAACACTAAAATTGAGGAGTAATTCGCCCATCCAATCCCCTCAATTAAAATTACTACGTTATATTATTCATGTATCACATCAACAGTCAAACACACATGCAGCGCAAAACAATTCTCTTTAAAATAAAAAAATTAAAAAATAAATAAACAAATTACATTGAGCAATTAACACTTGCAAAATTCACTAATTATTGCATTAACAATTACTGCATGGATCGAATATTAATTTATATTGTAAAAATAAGCAATGGTTCACACTGAAATGAAAAATACGAATAAAAATGGCAAGCAGAAAAAAAAACACATGAAAAATTCAATTGATGTTTCACCTATTGTTCTCTTTAAGCTCTCGTTGCCGTTTATTTTAGTATAAATTCCGTGGGTTATGCTGCTGTCAAAATAACATAATGTTAAATATCCATGAGCATTTTTAATCACTCGATGAGTTGTTAGAATTTAATGAGGACTAGGTCTGTTAAACTAGTGTAATTTAATGTACAACTGGAGTCTAGTGATGTTCAATGAAATTATGTACAACTTGATGAGATGGAGAGACTCCTTACCTTGGGGTTGATAACCACGTCCACCGTGACTGCTGTGAACACTAGGAGGTCCCTGTCCATACATACCATCATAACCTTGGTCAGGGCCGAGCATGTCCTGGAGATCACGTTGTAAATGATAAAAAAAAAACTGAATATTCAACGAAAATAAAAAAAAAACAAAAAAAAATCCGCAATCTCCACTCGTCTCACAGATGATAAACAAAACATTCGTAGAATGATTAATTACGATGATTGGTAAATGTGGCATACAACATGTTACGACAATGATGATGACTTGTTTGAATGATAAATGTGTTTGGGATGTAAAAACAAACTATTGGAATATTTTTAGAAATAAGTTAAGAGAGTTGAGGAGTCGTCATTATTTGGACTGTTGGAAGCACATGTAGCGATGATAATGCTGTGAAATTCTTCGATATTTCGGGGATGATGGCATAATTTAGTTATTAACGCCTACCTACAATTTTGTTGATTAAATAATCTAGTCTACAGACATTTAATTGAATTTCTACGAAAAGATAAGCTAAAATAAATTGAGAATAAGCTAAACATATTCATGTCATTTCAATTTCTTCCTCCCATCAGTGTAATTCACGTAAAAATGTCATTCACCCCAAAATTTCTCTGAGAGCCTAAAAATATTGATAAACGATGAAGAATAAAAATAAAAATTCTTCGACATTTCAGGGATGACTGAACAATTTAGTTGTCAATGCCTACCTTCAACTTAGTTGTTTAAAAAATCTAGTCTACAGACATTTACCTTCTTCATTTTTTTTTTAATTGAATTTCTACGAAAATATAAGCTAAAATAAATTGAGAATAAGCTAAACATATAGATGTCATTTCAATTTCTTGTTCCCATCAGTGTAATTCACGTAAAAATGTCATTCACCTCAAAATTCCTCTGAGAGCCTAAGAAATATTGATAAAGGGTGAAGAATAAAAATAAAAATTCTTCGACATTTCAGGGATGACTGAATAATTTAGTTGTCAACGCCTACCTTCAACTTAGTTGATTAAAAAATCTAGTCTACAGACATTTAATTGAATTTCTACGAAAAGATAAGCTAAAATAAATTGAGGATAAGCTAAACTTGCGTGGGATTTAATTACTGATATATTACACTGGCAGAATGAAACATTCAAACGTCGAAACATATTCATGTCATTTCAATTTCTTCTTTCCATCAGTGTAATTCTCGTAAAACTATCATTCACTCGAACATTCCCCTAGCATAATAACTAACAATAAATAGTGAGTAATTAATTTGGAAAATTGCTCACCTGTAGATCCGGACCCATTCCAAAGTCCGCATTATTCCACATATTCGTGTCCTCACGGAATAGCGAGTTAGTCAGCTCCAGTGAGAGACGTTTCTTGTAGTCCTGAGGCTTGTCATCACTCATACGGAACAGCACGGCTGCTGCGTAGGTTGCGACACCCTCGTTGCGCGAGTGGAGGAGTTCTGTGAGGGGTGCTGTTGCACCTTCTTGCTCGATCATCTCAGCGCCTTCCTTGTCGTTGGACAGTTCGCAGAGCACTCCTGCTGCCACACGTTGGATGTTCTCGATTTCATTGAACAGCAACTGTTGGAGGAGTCAGTATTAATCAGAAATCATTTCGTAATTGTCTTTTGTAATTAATAATAACAAGAGATTTAAAGATTATCTCGTGTTATCTTGATTTATATTCATTTCTTCCTGAATATTGAATATTATGTAAACGAAAAAAATGATAAAATTCAAATTTTACTAAATTTTCTCATTTTTTAAGAACAGGAAGCCAAGAATTCTCTAAATTCAGCAAAGTTTTCAATTCATTGGCTATTGCAGAATATATTTATTAGAATTTTATTGAATTCTGTTAATTTTCATGGAATAATTGAATTGGAATTTACAGTTTGCATCAATTTTTTCATTTATTCTGTCAATTTCTTGAAACTTCCCATTGGAAATTCTATGAAATTTTCAATCAATTAAAAATTGAAGGAAATATTTAATTTAATTTCCTTATTCCTATCAATTTCCATGAAATGTCATTTGAAAAATCTACAATTTGAGTTATTCATGGGATCAGTGAATTTCCGACGAAATTTAAAATGTGCAAAAAAATAAATTATTCATCATTGATAATTTGTTTCATGAATTCTAACTTTTACAAGTATGATAAATTAATCCATCAAATTCTCCGGCAATCATTTTCTTAAACAATAGCCTCTCGTTTGACTAGGGCAATCCTGTACCCTCGTGATACCCAGAAACATGAATTATTTATTACAAAATTTTGAGACTAAAGATAATGTCATATTAGACATCTAATTTTTACCATTTTTTCTGATTTTTCAACATTCTCCCAACATTTTAATCTTCTCCCTAGCCTCGACTAATTCATTTTCTCATAAGAGTCTGTGTTAATTTGCCACTTCTAAATGAATTATTATAAATAAGACTAGACTATCAATTGATGACAGACTGAACTCAATTCCCACAATGTTATGATTTATATTAACTCCCGTTTAGAATTTATTTCGATTTTAATCTCCAAAACTTGAGTTACGTTTAACCAACGTCTACTCACTTGAACAAAGATTGGAATCACACTCTGAGCCCTTATAATAGCCCTATTATGTGATTCTCTCGCAAGAATATGGAGTGCACCAACAGTTCCTTCAACGATCTCCTCCATACGAACACCATCAGCGTAAGCTTGCTGGCTCCCCATGCCCGTCACAGAGGCTCTTTGCTGTGAACCGAATAAAAATAATTAAATTTCCCTCCCAGAACATGAAATATCATCACAATAGATCGAAACAACCGAATTACCCTCTCTGTATCCTGGAATGCTCGACCAAGAAGCCTCACGAGATGATGAATAGCCCCATGTTCGCGCAGTGGGACGTGGTTGGCTGGGCACAGCGCCAGATTACGAATGAGCCCAATGACAGCTTTGACCAGTGGCCAACGTGATGGTGGATGAAGGAGCTTCACTATCACCTGAATACCGTAATTAATGCGTACAGCATTCTGTGCCATTTCTGCCTCGACGTGACGTGATGTCAGGTGACGAAGGGCACAGACTGCTGGCTCTGTGATCTCTTCACGATCACCGGCATTTACGATTGTACGCACGAGGGCGTCAACACCACCAACATTGCAGACTGTTGCCTAGAGGGTTAATCAAGACGTCAGCGAAACAGTTCGAGAGGAGAATAAAGAAATTAAAAAACAATCGTGATATCAATTTTTTCTAAAAGTGTTTTTAACCTGCGAACGAGGGATTTTAAGGGAAAATGTCAAGAGATCTTTTTTGTAGATGAGAAAATTTTGTACAGAACATATATTTTGACATTTATTCGTAAGATGAGTCATTTACGAGATAATGAACCATTCAAAATGATTTGAAACATAAATTTTTGGAAAAATTAAATCGTGAGTAAAATTCGTTATTGTTGACTTTACGGTTATCTCGTGAAGGAGTTGATTTAAGAGAAAATGTCGTAAAATTATTTTTTGGGGGAATTTCGTCAGTTACAAAAAAGGTCTGAAGATATTTTGTCATCAAATAGCTGGTTTACGAGATAATTTCATATTTACCTTGTTACGTTGATTATTGCACGTGAGATTAGACAGAATTCCAGCGGCACAAGTTACGACATTGACGTCATTGGACGCAAGAACCTGAACCAACCCCTGGAGTAGTCCCTCGAGGCCATCGACCTTCGTCCCAGCGTCTGAGAGATTTCGCAGGGTCCAGAGACAATTCTGCACGAGCCTCTGGCTCGCATTGCCCAAGTGCATGGCCAATGCTTGCATACCACCTGCGTCGACAATCGCTGGCTTGTTGCTGGAGCATACTGACAATACTGAAACGAAAAAACATTTGAAATAATTTTTTTAGTCAATATTAACTAAATATTGATGAAAAACCAAAACTGGTAATATTAAAACGAAAAACAACACGTGAAATAATTATTTTTGTCAATATCAACTAAATATTGATGAAAAAAATAGATATTACAACGAAAAAAAAATTCATGACATGACTGGGTTTTTGGTGAATGTTAACAGAATATTGGTTGTTAAACCAGATAAAATTGTTGTAAAGTTGAATTTACTTCGAGAAAAAACAATCAAACAGTGCAATTATCAATTTTTATAGAATAACGAGAGCTAAAAATTTTGCGATTTGAATTAGAATAAAATGGATAAATAAATATTATTTAGCAAATTATGTGATAAAAAAAATCGAGTAAAACTCTCCGCAATTTAAACTGTAAATTAAAATTGAAATAAAACATTCGCCGCTAAATTTTTTAAAAATTTCTGACAAATCCAACAATCCAAAAATAGCAAAATTCCCCCTAAAAATTTTCTTCCAAATGAAAAAAAAAAATTATTCATCAAATTATGCGATAAATGTAATCGAGCAAAACCCTTCGCAATTATATAAAATTATATAATAAAACATTCGCTGGTAAATTTTCCAAAAATTTTCTGAAAAATCCAGCAATTCAAAAACATCAAAATTCCCCTCCAAAAATTACCTTTCAAAACCCTGGAAGTAGTCCACAGCAGTTTCTCATAATCATAAGACCTCATGATCCTCACAAGTTCGATGGGTCCCTGTGAAGCAAGAATAATAAGTTTGCTCTCCTGATTCCCATACGCGAGGATCTGCAGGCAGTCCGTGACAATAGCCAGAAACTTGACATTATTCCGTTGTAGCAGAGCCACCATTTTCTGAAGCCCCCCAGCGAGGCGAACGGCCATTTTGGAGCCATCCTGATGAAGCAAAAGGTTATGAAGAGTGGTGATAGCATAGAACAGGACAGACTCCACCCCAGAGCTGAGTAATTTAACGAGAGCGGGGATGCCCCCACTCTTGAATATGGCGAGAAGCCCCTGCCTGTGATGGGACAAATTGTGAAGAGTTCCCACAGCAGCTTTCGTCGACTCGAGGTCGTCGCTGTTGGAGATGGCCCTGACCAAGGCGGCCACCATCTGCGAGCTGTTCATGATGGCGTGGCGAGAGGCTTCCTTCTTCGAGAGCTGGTGCACCATCATGGCAGCCTGTGACACCACCACCTGGTCCTCGTCGTTGAGGAGCTTGATGAGCTCTGGAATGGCTCGTGTGGCCAGATCAGCGTCGTCCTGGTAGTTTATCAGATTGACAACAGCATGTTTAAGCATCTGACTGGGCTCAGCGAGTCGCTGAACAGCTGTCGGCTGGGCAGGATCGAACTGCGTCGAGGGAATTTCAATCCCCTCCTCCAGAGTCTCGGGGAACATTGCTGCTCGCACACGCTGGGAGCGAGTGTGGCTCAACTGCTGGTTCACCTCGTCTATCTGGTCCTGGGTGAGGTTCTGGGTGAATCCCTGGTCCAGGTCGAACATCAGCTGGTCCCCCTCCATCTCGTCGTCCTCTTTGCCAGAGAGCGAGGGGGCCTGGGTGGCCGCTCCAGAGTGAATGCCGGAATCACCCATGTAGGAGTTCTGCTGCCACATCAGGGTTTGCTCCTTTGAGGAACCCATTGGGAGGTCACAGGGACCCTGGTAGTTACCGTGGGACACTGGTCGCGACTGGTTCGACGGCATTGGGTAAGACATCGCTCCAACGGGTGACACTGTCCACACCTGGAAGTAGTGTTGGGGGAGGGTAAGTGGAAGTTTAGGGGGAACAAGGGGGTGAATTTTTCAATTACATTTCGAGGATTGTTTCTGGATATTTTTACAGCAGGATAAGTTCCACGGAATTACTAAAATCCGAGGAAAACGGCGATCGCTTATTGACATTCAATAACGAGAAGGAAATTATAACGATTAGGTAAAAATCGATTAGGTAAATTAATGAGATGGTTCAGAGATGTTAGAGAAGATGGAAACAATATTCAATTGTAGATGATTTGATTTGAAAACATTTGGAATAAAACAGGAGTGTGCATTCCACTGGTTTAGTATTTCATAAAAATTGCGGAATTTATTTTTGAGTAAACGGAATAAGGAATTTTTTACAGCTATCAATTTGTCCAAAAAATTCTCCCAAAAATTCATTCATCTCCCGTAACTAAAAAAATTGGAACGATTAGGTAAAAATCGCCTATAAAGGAAACAATGAAACTAATAAGATGATTCATCGTCATTGTTGTTGAATCTCCAAACAAATTTTAGAAATGTTGGAGAAAATGTAAATAATATTCAATTATAGATGATTTTGTTTGAAAACTTTTTGAATAAAAATGGAGTGTACACTTCACTAGTTTAACATAAATTTGAGTATTTCATAAAAATTTCCGAATTTATTTTGCAGAAAGGGTTTTCATAAGGAATTTTTTACAGCTACCAATTTCTATCGAATAAAAACAATTCCAATGTCTAATTTCTTCCACAAACAATAACGTTAAAAAATGTGAACGATTAGATAAAAATTTCCCATAAAGGAAAAAAATGAATTGATAATCTGAGTCATCGTCATTATTGTTAAATTCCGAAATCATTTTAGAAATGTTGGAGAAAATGAAAATAATATTGAATTATAGATAATTTTCGTTGAAAACATTTTGAATAAAAATTAAGTGTACACTTCACTAGTTTAACATAAAGTTGAGTATTTCATTAAAATTGCTAAATTTATTTTAGAGAAAACGGTTTTCGGAAGGAATTATTAACACTAATCTGTCCAAAAAAATCACGCCAAGAATTCATTCATCTACCCTAATTGACTGAAAATTTCCTTCACCTCCTAGGTATTACTCAAAAACAGAATAAAAACAATTTCACTCTCTGATTGCTTTCACATTCAATAACTAAAAGAAAACGATTAGATAATAAAAATCCCATTTCAATCCCATTTTCAAAGATTCATTTCACTACTTTAATACGAGATTAAATTTGTCATAAAAATCTTCAAATTCATTTTACAGAAAACAGTTTCCATAATGACTTTTCCATATCTCTCAATCTGCGCCAAAAGAAAACCTCTAGAAACTTCCTGCATCTCCCCTCGCACATCAAAAACCGATTAAAAACCTGAATTTCCGATTTCTTCCCATTCAATAACCCACAGAAACCGATAACGATTAGATAAAAATCCCCCATCAAGAAGCAAATGAAATTGATGTTCTGGTTTACCTTCATTGTTATTAAATACGAAAAATGATTCCAGAGGTGTTGGAAAAACGAAAACAACATTTAATGACCGATTTCCTTTGAACAAAATTTTGAATAAAAACGAAAGATTCGTTGCACAACTTCGAGAGAAAATTAAATTTTTCGTAAAATGGTCAAATTCATTTTATACAGAGCCGTTTCCGTAATGACTTTCACATCTCTCAATCTGCTCCAAAAGAAAATCCCCTAAAAAATTCCTTCATTCGCTCTCACTCATAAAAAATCGATTAAAACCTGAATCTCAGATTTTTCTCACATTCAATAGCACAAAAAATGATAACGATTGGATAAAAAAACTAAGCGATTGAAATTAATAATCTGGATTATCGTTATTGCTGTTGAATTTCCAAAATCAGCCCAGAAATGTTGGAGAAAAGAAAAATAACATTAAAAAACGAACTATTGCTTTCAATACTTCAACACAAGATTCAACTTTTCGTAAAAAACTTCAAATTTATTTTATACAGAACCGTTTCCATGATGACTTCATCTCAATCTGCTCCAGAAAAAAACCCTCTAAAAAATTTCTCAACCTCCCCTCACTCAAAATCGAAAATAACATTTAATAATAGATGATTTCCTTTGAAAAAATTTTGAGTAAAAACTGAAATATTAATTTCACTGCTTTAACACAAGATTAAAATTTTTGTAAAAAACTTCAAATTCATTTAATACAGAATCCTCTCCATAATAACTTCATCTCAATCTGCTCTCTCAATTTGCTCCAAAAAACCCTCTAAAAAATTCCTCAATCTTCCCTCACTCGAAACCGAAAATTCATTTCTTCGTAAAAATCTAGAAATTCAATTTAAAGCCCGGGTGTACTATCTTTCGAATGTTATCTGAATTTTTTTTATCTTTCGTAATCCAAAATTATCAATTGAGTGGTACATCAGATAGAAGTTTCCAAAAATTATGATAGAATGATAAGAAGAACTGGAAAAAATTCTTAATTTTTTCAAAGAGCGTTTTAATTGAGATTCAGAATGAGTTGAAAAAAGTAGAAATTACAAATATCTGATTCGCTGTGGCAAATTATCTATTAGCTGTCATTTTCCATAGTGGATAACAAAACACTAACTCCTCATGGGAAGTGACAGCTAGGTATCTCAATTTTCAAAACAGTGGTATGTAGTCATCTGCCATTTTTATGTGATAAAAGTGTGATTAAAAAATTCTGCAAAATATTATAACTTTTTTCACAGAGCCTTTTCCGTAATAAATGTCTCTGTGCAGTGTGGGAAAAGATTTACGAAATCAGTCTTCCCCCTGCATGATATTGGGTGACAGGCCGCCATTTGTCACCGAAAATCAGATACATTTTTCAATTTCTTGTTATTCAACTTATTCTGAATATAAATTAAAAATGCTCTTTAAGGAAATTAAGAATTTTTTCTACTTTTATTGATTATTCATTCATAATTTTTCAAAACTTCTGCATGATGCAGGACTTAATTGATAATTTCAGATGACGAAAGAAGAAAAAAAACATCGAGATAGCGTTCGAAAGATAATACACCCGGGCCTTAAAGAGAAAATTTCCCATAACGAACTTTTTGCAGTTCCCAAACTTTTTCAAAAGAAAAACCTCTAAAAAATCCCTCAATCTCCCCTGACTCGAAACCGAAAACAACATTTAATAATAGACGATTTCCATTGAAAAAGAAAAATTGAATAAAAATGAAATATTGATGCAACGTTCACCATAAAGTTGGCCTTTTCCAAAAAATCTCAAAATTCAATTTAAAGAGAACATTTCCCACAACGAACTTTTTGTTCCCAATTTGCTCCTAAAGAAAACCCTCTAAACAATTCCTCAATCTCCCTTCATCCGTAACCTTTATCTTCGAAAACGAAATATTGATTCAACTAGATCAACAAAAAGTTGCCTTTTCCGTAAAAATCTTGAAATTCAATTTAAACAGGCCATTTCCCATACAGAACTTTCCGCAGCTCCCATCCTGCTCCAACACTCTAAAAGCTTCCTCCACCCCTCCGTCCTCTCAAACCAAATAAACCCCGGAACCTCTAATTTCTCGCATCCACCACTCCAAACCCCCGATAACGATTAGATAAAAATCCCGCACGAACCAGCTTGAAATCAATGAACCATTACGAGAGCAACGCAATTACCCACCCTGCAGCCTCCGCCGTATCCTCCCCTGAACCCCAAAGGTTGAAGAATAAACACTCCCTCGGCGTTCCTCAGACCTCCATCCCCCAGCCTCTCCAAACCGCCCCAATGGCTCCCCGACCCGCGCCTAAAACCCCATCGCCCCGCAAAAAAGTTGCACTTGCACCCGCGAATGTCCCTCAAAAATCCGATGAAATAAAAAATGGGAAACCTCGCGCATGAACCGACGCTCGACTGCTTTATTTTCCCCCGAGTATCCGGAGAACTCGGCAAAATAGAATGCAGAGACCACTGAACCCTCGATTAGACGGGGCAGCGACACACGCCACGACAAATCATATTTATTTATCTCCCTGGCTCGAGAATGAGAGACGCGTAACAGTTATGCATCAGGACAACAAAGGGCCTGAACTATAATGCATCACCATTTTCTGACAATCCCTGCGCGCTGGCGTCAGAGTACGAGAATCCGAGGGCACAATAGGGAGGAGAGAAGGGGATTCGATAGCACTTTGACACACCCAGGCGTAAACACGGGTTTAAAAACCCCAACGAGACCCCAAAATTATCAACATTTCATCGTTAAAAGGACTCACCGTTTTAATTCGTATTGAACTGTCCCCTTTTCCTGATAACTCGATTCTGAGATCCAGTGGAATGAGTCACACAAGCACTCGCACAACACGTACCACACAGCTTTCGCCTAGTGCGTCCACGGTATTTCACGGAGATTCGTCAACTAAAAGATGGCGGTTGAGGGACGCTTCGGGGAAATCGCGATAACAGCGCCGCTCGCTGTTCGGGAGTGAAGTTTTATAGTTCTCGCGGGTTGAGGTCACGACGCCCAAATGCGGAATATCGAGTGCACCAACTACTGAAACTCAATTCTCTAGAATACGGTAGTCGCTTGATTAGAGTGAAGGTTGAGCGGACAATCCCCTGGAGAAATAGAATGAGGAGTGATCCAATCGTTGAATTGATCATATAATAAAATTTTTTAATATAGAGTAAAATTCTCGCATACATAGAATTATACTGTTTGCATTCTATTGCAGAAAATTGTTATATTCATACATTCAATGTTTTTACTCATTTACTATACTGAAAAATTCTTGAATCAAGTACTGTTTCTAACGTAATTTGATTATTCACTCGGCGTCCATATGAAATCTCATCATGACTAATATAATTGGTGCAGCTATTTTGAAAATACCTCGATCATTTTGGTCATTCGTGGCTTGAATATGCAATTCAGAATGAGTGATGCGAAGGAAACAATGCAACTAATGCTATTTCATACCTCACTTACGCTCTCTTTAAAAAGTGGACAAGTATACTTTACGTGAGAAATTCACAACCCTGAAAATACCATATTAAAGGGAAGCAGTAAATTGAATAGTCATATATCTGCTATAGCAAAATGGGTAAATTCAGATGGGTCCAAATATGTCGTGGTTAATTTAGATCAGATTAGTACATTAGAGTACAAGGGCACAAATTTCGTGTCTACAACTCAGGCCTCGCCTTCGGCTCGGCCTGTAAACTACACATTCGTTGAAAACGAAATTTATTACCCAGTGCTCTATTAGTATATTTCATCACTAGGCCGAAAAAAACTTTTCTGGCGAATATGAGTTTGCAGTATGAATTCTGCAATCGGCCGGAATGACAAAAAA